AATTATTAGAATAGCATCTCCTACCTCGAGGACCTTCTATAAGAGAGAGGAAAGGATCGAGGATGCTATTCGCCGACTCTTGGTGGGATTGTTGCCCCCGACACTCTTAGGTTGTCAGTAGTTCTAGCATGATTAGAGTGACTAGTCTGTGGACTGTACGACTTTGCAAAAATATTTACAAAAATAAAATAAAAATTTCTTTTGCATGATTAAAAGAACTCTGCATAAAAAAAACTTAAATAATAACTTTTGCATGAAAATCTTTCTCTGAAAATTTATAAAGGTCCACGTCTAGTCACTTGGATTGAGGTTAAGAACTACCTCCTGTAGATTGTCGAGTTGGTAACTCCTGTTCAAGAACGGGAAACACACAGCCCAGCTCTGAGCCCTCACTTTTACCATGTCTTATACCAGTCCTGATCTTTTATATGTGGTTATGTGTTTCTTTTGCTCATGATTTCTACTACTCGTTTTTTTTATGACTTTCATGTTGGGTTTTATTGCTTTATTTAATTTTCTTGCAAGTTCATTAAAATCTCCTGCAAATAATATTATGCTCGCAACATTAATAATACAACAGTAGCAGATGCCCAGGTACGCTTTTACAGTTTATATACAACATTTTATTTTACTGCATTTTACCTTTCAAGCACATTTTATTTATTTGCAATTTGTTTATTCTGCATGCAAAACCAAAACTGTGAAACATAAACTACAATTTTCAAACACTTAAACCCTGGAGCCATCGCGACGACAGGAGCTTGGAACCAACTTTGTGGGCAGCAGGACGAGGAGCTTGGAGCGAGCAGCAAGAAGATCTTCTTCAGCATTATCCCTTCTTAGCATAATAACAACCCATAGGACTTCGAGGTAGCTCGCCTAGAGCGACGTAAATCCTCACACTCTTTTAGGCCCCCGCACAATCATGTTGTGCAGCATAAGTCTTAATTCGCCTTAGGTTCCGAGGTTGTCGTCAAGAGCGACGTAAAACCTCTTATCTCTGCAAGCTATTTACATAACCAGTTATTATGCAAGTGTAAGTCCCAAATAATAAAATTGACAGGATTGAACACTCAAATAACATCTTCTCTAAAACACAGTCACACAGTAGGATAGTTTGGGAAGTCACTAAGATTTCTCCTCATGATCTATGACATCCCCTACCTGTTCCTTCCTTTGGACTCCTGAAATAACTGTTCATATTTGAGCCACTCGAAGACTAGAACCATTGATCATTATCGAGAGTTTTTTCAAATGACAAATGTCATTTGGGATGTAATTAACTATAGGGGTTTGCCTCTATAGGGAACTTGGAACCCAGATAAAATAAACCCTATTTAATCTTTGTATTAAATAGGGGAACTTGTCGGTCATAAATAAAAGGTTCGCAGGCTAAACGGATGTCACAAATCTCTTAGTTTGCTGGATTGGGTCTATCGCCGAGGTCTACACTTATCTTTCGGGAGGGTGTAGTATT